AATTTATAACTGATTACCGCTGCACTCCCAATTTTGAACCAGTTGGATACAAACTCTGATTGCAATGTATATCAGGATCCTTTGTTATAAACTAATTGCGATTTTGGGTCGGCAATACCACCGTGATGTTATATTGATGGCTAGTCGGGAGAAAATATTTTCGCGGAGTCGCGAAGCAACAGAGCTCAATACGGAATATATTTTCTCCCAACTAGCCGTCAATATAATGTGGTATTGCCGTCTCAAAATCGCAATTAGTTTTGTATTGCAATCCATCATTTATAAGGATAAATGAAACTGTAAAATTATCAACCCGTGCCTGATCGAAATATTAATTCTCTCTACCTGCGAAACATATCCATGGTAACACAAATTTTGCATGCAAATAACTTTGTCGTGGGTAATTTGAAAATCCGCACAAGTTTATAGTCTTTGTTACCATAAAATGAGTTGACTGAAACCAAAAAGTGTTGAAAATTACACAGGAATGGAGTCCAAAGAGCCATTTGGTGATGAAATATCAAATTTCACAGGCCCGCAAAAGTGAGACGGCAATACCACAAAATATTGACGCCTTGCACATGGCCAAAACTATAAGAAGATCGCGATACTAGAGATTATTATTGGGAATAACATTAGGCTATATATAAGGAATGTCAAATAGGGAAGGGCATCTTGTCAGTGATTTAGAGTGTGATAGAAACAAGAGTGTTATTCTAAACATTAATAGAACTCTTCAGATGTGATGTGTCAACATAGTTAGTAATTTTGTGGCTAATTGTAGATGCATCACTAGATTTAGATGGCTTTTCTTATTGTTTGTTTGTTTTCATTTCAAGGGGGAGGTTACTTAACAGGAGCGGGTGCCCAGGAGGAGAACTTGTTCCGTCGTACAAATTATGTGCAACACTTAGCAGACCCAGATAAAGAATTTGATCCCAAAAGAAAATGGAAATACAGAATTCCAGAGTTTTCATGCATCTACTCAAAAAATGTTTTCATCATAAGAGCATCTGAAGCTGAAGGATATATGTTTCTCGCCCACCCTGTCCCAATGTCCTTTTTAGCCCTACCCGCTTATCCTAATCCTGCTCTTACAAAAGACAAGAAGACACTCATTCCAGTGATTGCTGAGAACACAAAACGGAAGATACGTTGCATGTTGTCTGCTGGTCTGTATTATGCTCATGACTCGCTGGTTCTCTCAGCACTTGGCTGTGGAGCATTTAGAAATCCCGCACGTCACATGGCCCAGCTCTTTAAGGAAGTATTGTCTGAAGGGGAATTTGCCAATAGATACAAGCACATTTCTTTTGCCATCCTCGATGATCATAATGCCAGGGGGGAGGGGAATTTCAAGCCCTTTCTTGAGGTATTTGCTGACTGGACATAAAAGTTATTAATTTAGAAGATCAAGTCTTAATAAAAACCATGACATTTTGTTGAAGAGTATTATTGGGAATAATATTAAAGTGCCTATAACCGCAAAAATTTTTTTTGGCCATATTAAATCTCTCTATTGCACTGAGCAAAATGCCGTAAAAATTTTTGTGTTTGGTTAAAACCGTGATTTTTTATGAATTTTCAAAGTCAGGTTTATTTTTGGAACGACTGAGTGAACCAGAGACTGGGGCTAGTGACGTCATTCCAGGCCATCGGCAGTGGCGCTTCGATCCAATCTCAGTCAATATTATACATTCCCAACGAGATGAAACCTTTGCTAAAGCCTGATCTGGTAAATTTTTCTCACCTTTCTCTTACTTCGCTCGCTTTCAGCTGATTTCGTTTCCTCAACATTCCACGTGTGAACAGTCAGAAAGACGAAAATTGCAACTCCATCTTTTCACAACCTTCGTTTCATAGTCTTGCTAGTCAGAGCAGAAAACATGACTGAATGGTCTTCTTCTTGGAGGTGGTTGTAACACATGGCCGAGTATTTTGTGGGCTTCCAATGTGCATACTTCAATTGCACAAAGTCAACGCACTTCTTTCTTTTCTTTTTTTTCTCCGGGTCATCTGCCCCATAAATGCTATTCTTTTTTCTTTGTTGACCCAAAAACAACGCACTTATCAGGCATATCTGTCAAGATACTTCATCCAGTCCTTGAAGCAAACTCACTGGAAAGCCTGGAATGACGTCACAAACTGTGCTCGACCCAGACCCATCTTGATAATTCCGTGCCTCAGTCGTGTTTGAAAAAATGTGATTTTCCACGACTTTGAAAGTTCATTAAAAGTCGCGGTTTTAACCAAACACAAAAATTTTTACGGCATTTTGCTCAGTGCAATAGAGAGATTTAATATGGCTAAAAAACATTTTTGGGGTTATAGGCACTTTAGCCTTGCTTTAATTGAAGGTTCAAGGTAAAAAGTTTGTAGGTTATGTTATAGCTGTAATACAGTACTATCAGTTTTGCAAGTTTCGGATTTCAAGTTCTTGGCCCAGAAACTTGGCTTGAAATCTCAAATTTGCCGATATCATCCAAATTAATTTTTTATTCTTTAAACATAATGAGGGCACAATTTTATGACATTAATTTTTGTTTACTCCTCAAACATTAATTGATGAAATACTAGCATAACTGTTGCTTGTTCTAGAAGTCAGTCTTTGGGGATGAGAAACAGTAACTGTTGTGAAAGCACAAGGAAAAAT